TACATATGTTCACATGTTTGGTTAAGTTCTGTCATTTCTGTCCCAATTTTTTGTCTAGTTGATCTATCTCTTTGTGATAGTGGTGTATTAAAGTCCATTGTTATGATTGTGTTGCTACTTATATCATTTTTCATGTCTGTTAGGATTTGTCTTATAGAGGTGGTGCTCCTATATTTGGTGCATAGATGTTTATGCTTGTTATCTCTTCCTCTTGAAGCTTCCTCTTCACAAGTATGTAGTGACCTTATCTCTCTTGATTGTTCTTGGCTTGAAGTTCATGTTGTCTGCAAACAGAATAGCTACACCTGCTTTTTTCTGGGTTCTTGTCACATGGAGTATTGTTTTCCATCCTTTAATTTTCAGTCTTTGAATTTCCTTTTGAGTTAAATGTGTTTCTTGTATACATTATATAGTTGGGTTTTGTTTCCTAATCCACTCTGCAAGTCTGCTTCTTTTGGTGGGTGCATTATCATTTACATTGATGGTTATAACTGATTTGTACTGGCTTATCTTTTTTTTTTTTTTTTTTGAGGCAAAGAAAATCTTTATTGCCACAGAAAGCAGGCTTATCTTTGTCATGTTATTTTCCTGCTGCTGGATCCTTCTCTTTCCCTCTGTTTAATTGTTTGCTCTGCTTGTTGGTTCCTTTCTGTTGTTATTCTTGAAGTTGCAGTCTGTTTTATCTCTTTCTAGTATATCTTTTAGTACTCTTTATATGATTGGTTTGGTGCTCATGAATTTCTTCAGTTGTTCTTTATCATGAAAATATTTTATTTCTCCATTAAATTTGAAAGATAGCTTTGCAGGGTACATCAATCTGGGTTGGAAGCTGTTTTCTTTCAGTACCTGAAGTACTTCACTCCAAGCTCTTCTTGCTTTGATGGTTTGTGTTGAGAAGTCTGCCATGATTCTGATAGGCTTTCCTTTATAGGTGATCTGTTTCTTTTCTCTTATAGCTTTTAATATTCTGAGCTTTTCTTGAGTTTCCAAGATCTTGATCTCTGTATGTCTGGGTGTAGATTTATCTTGGTTATGATTCGCTGGTGTTTTATATGCTTCACTTATCTGGTTGTCTGATTCTTTTACCATGCCTGGGAAATTTTCTGCTATTATTTTTGCAAATAGTCTTTTTATGTCATTTGTATTGACACATGCTGTTTCATTAATACCTATTAATCTGACATTGTTTCTCTTTGCTTCATCTTGCAGTTGTTGAATTGTTATTTCCTGATTCCTTGTTGTTTTTAAGAGATCCCTCCTCTCATGTTCATTAGTGACAATGCTGTATTCAAGGTCTGAAAGTCTATCTTCAGCTTTGTTCAGGTGGTTTGCAAGTTTTCAATGGAATTTTTAAGTTCCTGGATATCTGTTTGCATCTGTTTCATACCTTCTAGTTCTTTTCTATATTGTTCCCTGAAGGTTTCATTGAGCTGTCTATGCTCTTCTATTTTCTTGTCTAGGTCATCTTTGTATATGTTGAACATTTCTTTCATTATTTTTGTCATTTCTTTTCTCACCTGAGACATTATTTCTGATGTCTTCTATGGCCTGATGGAGTGGTTTCTTTACTTCAGTTGCTATCATTTCAGAAATTTCAGGTGTATCACTTCCAGGCTCTTTTGTGTTGATGCCTTTTGGACTTGTTTTGAGTGGTGTGGAGGTCTGGGATTGCATTTTGCTGCTTCATTTTGTCATTTTTGAAGAACCAGAGACTCCCTGTAGTGCGATCTCACTGTCCTGATTGTTTGTGAGTGGTAAGACAAGAGCCTGAAGATCCCCAGTGCTCAGTGTAGCTCCTGTACTGGTGAGTGGTGGCAGCCCAGCCCAGGCAAACACACTATGTGTGTGGCATAACAGAATGTAGGAAACCCTGAATGAACCGGGGTTCAGTCGGTCTTGTACATAATTTTGATGATTCCCTACATTCTGTTTGCCACTGAGGCCCCAGAGGGTGCCTGAGGCTTTGCCTGCCTTGCACTCTGGTCAGAGAGGCAGAGCCCAGACTCACAAGACTTCCTGAAGGTGTCTGGGGTTTAGCCCAACCTGAGGTGACACTCATGGGTGTGGTGGATAGCCACCAAGGCCCCAGAGGGTGCCCAAGGTTTCACCTGCCTTGCATGCTGGTAGAGGAGACAGAGCCCAGACTCACCAGGCTTCCTGAAGGTGTGAGGGGGGGGGTTAGCTCAGCCTGAGGTGACACCCTATGGATGTGGCGAGTAGCCACTGAGGCCCCAGAGGGTGCCCGAGGATTCGCCTGCCTTGCATGCTGGTCAGGGAGGCAGAGCCCAGACTCACTAGGCTTCCCAATGATGCCCAGGGTTCAGTCGGTCTTGTACATAATTTTGATGATTTCCTACATTCTGTTTGCCAGTATCTTATTGAAGATTTTTGGGTCTATGTACTTAGGGAGATTGGCCTGTAGTTCACTTTTTGGTTGGAATCTCTGGTTTTGTATCAAAGCAATACTTCCTTCCAGGAATGACTTTGGGAGTATTGTTTCCCTTTCAATTTCAATAAAGAATTTGAGGAGTAATGGCATTAGATTTTCTCTAAATTGCTTGTTGAATTCAGCAGTGAATCCATCAGGACCTGGGCTTTTCCTTGTTGGCAAGTTTTTAATTTCTTCTTCCATTTCATTGACTTTCAAACACTGATACTGGATTATTTAACATTTTTCATCTTCTTAATTCAACTCACAATTTGTACTTATCTAGGAATCTGTCCATTTATTCTGTGTATTCTATGTTATTTGAGTATAGATTCTCAAAGTAGATACTGATAATCTTCTGGACTTCCATAGGATCTGTTTTGCTTGCCTGGCTAGCGCAAGGTCGTGAGTTTGATTCCCAGTACCAGAAAAAAACCAAAACAAAAAAGATGCAGAAACAACTCCAGACACACTCAGCCACCTTATCTTCAACAAAGGGACTGAGAATTTCTGATGACTTATAACCAACTCCTGCACAGGCTGAGATTATACCTGTGGTAATGTGTTCACTGAGAAATTGCACCCACTAAGGATTTCAGTCCTTGTTTGGTCTTCTAAAGTTGTAATCTGCTCTGAAATGCAGTGTGTGGAAAATGGAAAAAGATTCATCTGCTGCACAGAGGGATAAAGAAATGTACATCTGATTCTACAATTTTTATTTCAAACAAAAAATTATATGTTCTGAATCCTGCTTGGCTGCCTAGGGGAAAAAATAAGTTCTTCTTCCAGCTCTTTAATCTTTCCAACTACACAGAATCTGTACCTTCAAAATATTCCTAAACTGAAGCAATTGGATAAAGTACCACCTTAACATACAAAATCCCTGAAATATTATTTTATTTAAATTTAGGTTTATACTGTTCCAGTGCCTCATAAAACATTACCAAATATGTCTTCTGTTAGTCTACACTGGTATGCCTACTATGTCCATACATGTTTTTAAAACTGTATGTCAACAGTGAATGCTTTTATTATTATTTGTAATTAGCCTTTGTTTCAAGAAATTTTCAAAACTGTCACATTAACTACATTAACAATGTGTAGTTTTGTGTATTTCTTAATATGTGTCAAAGTTTTATATACATGTGTATGGACTTTGGTCTCATGTACAAACACTGAAACAGAGTTAAAATGGAGAAAATAAAATATTTGAAATCCGGAAGCAGGGGTCTAGCCCCAGACCCACCACCCTCTAGTTCTAACCTCGGGCAATATTACTTATTTTTCTCCCTATTTCCTCAAACTATACTCAGGAATGATATCCATAGGGTTGCTGCAAGGAATCATCAAGGTAATTAGTTAAATATCTTAGTCTTTAACCACGCATATAATGATCACTCAAAAAAAACCACAAAATAGCTTTAAACTGCAAAAATACTTTAAGGCAGAGCCCATCAAATGATTGTAATTATTTTACTATACACCAACACACCCACAACATATCTTAGCATTGTGGAATACATGAAAATTATTCATCCAAAATGAATGTCAATTAATGTTTCCTTTCTAAGGAAAGAGAGAGAAGGCAGAATAATGTGAAAAGATGGTGTTTCAAACTTTAATTTTGTCATGTACATTAAATAACCAATTCTGATAGATTATTTTATTCTAACTGACCATGTCCTGGTCTATAAATCGGACATGACCTGCACATAGTACATGCTCTGAGCATGCATCTTGAGAGATTAAAATTGAAGATTGTCTACAACATTTTCAATAACTCTTTTATCTGTCTGATAGTATAAAGTCTCTTACAAAATCAAGTGAACTTTCTCAGTGTATCCATCACTTATATTCCTATGTTTTGCTTTAAGTCTAAATAGATGGGGAAATTTGGTTCTGCAGAGACTTTGTTGCAAAGCTGAACCTGAACTGCAAAGTTTAATACTCAGAATATATTTCCAGCATGCTCACTCCAGAAAATGGCCCAATAAACATCTTATATACACTTATAGAAACCTGTGCTGGAAATCTTTAGGCAGCTTCCCATTAAAACATGTCTTGATCTTTTCTTACCTTTCTTAAAAATGTTTATTTTTGTTAGTATATATTTCTGTAGTATAATGCTTACATTCATTATGGGAAGTCAATGCAAGTGCAAAATATATTTTAATTCTTTTGTATTCATTTTCCCACCTCTCCTTGGCCTACTCTCCATCTCTTGGTCCTTTATTTTTGCAAAGATTCTAGCTCCCTGTTTCCTAATATCTATCTTTTGTTTTCCTCTTTAATGTATTTATACTCAAGTTCTCCTTTATCACAGAGTACTACTGCATTGTATAGAACTACTATATTATCCTTATGCATTCATCTGCAGATGGCATACAGGCCACTTCCAAGACTGAGCTATTAAAAATTATGCTTCTGCAAACATAGCTATGCATGTATTACTGTATAATATGATATCTTTACATGTATAATATGATATTTTTAACTCTTTCTTTTTTACAAGCAAGACACCGTTACCTCTAATCCTCATGGTCCTTTAAAGTTTGTTTTTCTCACTTCACAGGTCTCCTGTTATGGCTGGTGGTCTCTTCGCTGTGGATCGAAAGTGGTTTTGGGAATTGGGTGGATACGATCCAGGCTTAGAAATCTGGGGAGGAGAACAGTATGAAATCTCTTTTAAGGTAAGACTCCCTTCACACTATCGCTGTGTAATTTTAATAGTTCTGATTATCACTACACTGCTTTGTGACCTATGTTATAGGATGAACTAATGATACTGGACATGTCACCATCTCAGGTGAGCTTCTGCATGAGAGAACTACTTCTTTCTGCTCCCTTAAGTGAGATGCAGCTGTGCCACATGCAGAATGAATTCATGCACTAGTTTGTAGGTGGAAAAATTAGTGTGCTGGCAGATTACTGCTCCACTGACAAATGCATTCTTTCTGAAGTTCTTAGGACATGAAGACAGACAAATTAAAATGAACTAAGGAGAAAAGAATCAGGTTATTGGAATTTTGCTCTTTGTATCTGATCAATAAATAACAATTAAGATTTTGATTAGAACTAGTTTTTCCAAAATTCTAATAACTGAAAAGCAAATTTGAAGATATAAATCACAAATTGATGTGCTCCTTCATATAAATTTCAAATGAGTAAGCTTTACATTT